ATCAGGAAGGGCGCTGGTGTAAAGCTGTAACGGCTGTACGAGTGTTCCCAAGAAAACTTAGTAGCTGGGATTTGCCTGTACGGGTGCTACAGGAATGTATAGCTTCCAGCGAGGAGACGAGCCGCTATAGAACAGCGTTATGTCTGTAAGCTGCCTCTTTTGAGGCTTACTTGACTTATAAATTAAACTGCTTTTGCCTCAAGAAGCTGAGGATTTCGACTGACTTTTTTTCTTTCCCTGTCCTAAGACTGTTACCTTTCACCAGTTAAATGCTAAGAGAAAGGCTGCAAGAAGGGATGTCTGCATCTGATGTCAGAGCTGCATCAAGGCCATGGGAGAGATGAGGATGAGCCTTCATCCCCAGTCGCTATGGAGGTGATTGGAAGGTTTCAGTGCTGCTGTGGAGATAATATTTTTGAGTAGTGTAAGTTTGTGATAACTTTGATAGTTTTTTTCCCCCTCATTTGGTCTCTGATGCTCCTCAGTAAGTGACAGTTGATTCTTCAGATTCTAATTTGCCCAAGTAGCATTACTCTTTGCTTTGACACTAAAGGAAGGGGTCAGTTTGGGTAACTCCTGGTCTTTGCCTCAGAGAGGTGGTGGCCATGGAAAATAAATAATTTCAGAGGTAGTAATTTCAGAGGTCTCAAGAAAGGACTCTGATATACTTGCTTAGTCCCTCTGGATTTGGACTCTTCATGTGACATGCTTTGCCCCGTGCAGGAGGATGACTTGGTTGTGGGAAAGAGTCTGTGTATGACAACCACCATGATGGTGCTCTGAGCAGTCTTGAAATTTGCGGTAGCAAGATCCCATATCCCTCACCTTCAGTATAGCCTGGCTCCATACAGGTGCCTCTTTCACTCAGACTCTTCATGTAGTTTGGAGAGAACTTTTCCGTCCTGAGAGCTCTTTCCTAAGAGAATAGAGCTATACCGTGTTGCAGAATGATCCCCTGTTGCCCAATTGTAGTACAAAACCAGAGTTAAATGAACCTGTCACAGTAGGTCACTCTCATACATGGTATGTTATAGTCAATAGGCTATTCTGCAGGTTACTCCAATACTTCTGGAAATTTAATTAAAGTGGAAATAGCAAATGCTGGGAGTGGGGTTGCTATCATCAGGTCAGCTCTCGCAAGGAGGTAGCCAGTAGTTACAGGTGGTTTTCAGCCCTTCCTGGAGGAACTGAGGTGTGGTCAACTCTGAGTGGGGTGTATGGAGAGAATTCAGCTTTAGGGATGGGTTCGTGTTTTGTGTGCTCCTACACTTAGGCAGCACGTGCTACGGTCACAGAACCTGAGATCCACCTGATCTCTAACGTCCCCTGAGTAAAGAATCATCCTTGCATTCAAGCAGTAGGAAAAACTCAAGTGAGGAAGGAGTTGCAAAGAGTTGTGCTAATGACTGGTCACATCTTTTTCAACCTTTCTTCCTATCTTATGGTCGCTTAAAGAATGTGGGATGTCTGCTGGTCGAGATGAAGAACAATTAGAGAAATTTTTACGAGGCAATGCTTTTCAGAAGTTGAAATAATTTGACAACAGTTCTGCCTTTAAAAATCTGAGGGAGTCTGTTAGGTTATTTTTGGCAGAGTAGTTGAGGTGATCATAATGTTGCGTTTAGAGGTATTTATGACCTTGACATTTTTATCACAGTGGAAAGAAGATGAGGCAAAGCTTTTGACAAAATATAATGGACCTTAATACTCATTTTGTGGGTTTTGAACAAGCCACACTTTCCATTGAAGTTACATTCTGTAATTGTCTGAAGAGCGCGGACAGGAGGTATACGGGACTGAGAGTTTGAGAAGCACACGTGGAACTTGTTACAAGCCCAGGCTCAACGCTGACATCCAGAATACTCTGCTTTTCTTTTGTGGTTAAGTTATGTGAAATGAATCAATGGCCATTGATTTGTCACTCACAAACAAGAGTTTGTCACTCTTGAAGCTGTAAAGAATGTCTTGAAAGCACGAACAAAGTGTAAATAATGTAATAATGACTGCTCCAGTAAGCAAGCAGTATTCATGGCGTACAGTAATAGCTCAAAGATGTGAAGAGTCCATCAGTTGGAAGTAACATGAGCGTGTACTGATCTGTCAGAGTGCTGCTGACACCTCTCCAGCAGAAAAAGCGTGTTTGGAGGAGGGTGAGAACACAGCGTGTCCGACCCACCGACGCAGAAGCAGCCCAGCTGGTGAAGGCAAGGCTGGGAGACGGGCACTGGCTGCCCCTTCTCTGTAGTTACAGGGGCACGTACAGCCAAGCTCCGGTTTCTGTTGTGGCAATAAAACCCACAAGTAGTTATCAGCGCGAGTGCAAATGGAGCGAATGCAAATATAACTGTGTTCCTATTTATGTAAATTGCACAGGGTGTATCGGTTACTCAATTTGGAGAGTTAACACAAATAGCTGCATTAATAATTGGCGCAAAATATGCGTAGTCCTTCCTTTGGGTGACCCAATAATGTCAAGACCTACTTCTTGGAATATGTGCTGTGATTATAGCTACAGCTCAGAGAGCACAGTTAGTTTCACAAATGGCCTTTTGTTCCCGCCTGGCTTGATTACGGTGATCTACTCTGGGACCACTGATCAAAAAAAGCTTTTAGCTTGGAGTTTTCAGTCTGTTATTCCATGTTTGGTGCTCGCTGCGTGTGTGTGAGCCAAGAGCAGCATGTTACGAGTAGGGAGCTGTATAAGAATTTGAACCAGGCGGGCCTTTAGCGGTGTGAGCTTCAGTCCGGATCTGGCGATGGGGACAGCTCATACCACCTTGGCTGATCTTCAGCCTCATCCCACCAACCCAGCTTCAGCCCCTGTGGCACATCACCATTGTAACAAAGGAGAATTCTGACCACTTTACCTCCCCCCGCCACCCCCAGCTTTATGCGGCTACAGTCCGTGCTCTCTCATCCTCGTCCCTTTTCTGGAAACCTAGGGCCAGCCCTTGCGTGCACTGCTGAGCTTGCCGCACGGAGGTGTGGGAGTCACTGCTGCCTTATGTTACTGCTGGTTTTCCCAGAGTTGCTGTTCTTGGTTCAAGGTCTCCCCTTGAAAAGAGGGTCACCTACTTCAGTTTGTGTTGAAGTTTGGTGTCTGGCCATGGGCAGCTATGCTGGAGAGCCTGTGTGGAGTAACTCGGGGGTTTGGGGGTGCTCTGCCAGCCGGATTGCCAGAAGAACAGCATCCCCCAGGACCTGCACGCCTGTCTGAGGGTGACCCTACGGGGACTGCGGTGTACCTCGTGCATGGGAAGAGCTCCTCCACCAGGTAGTGTGGGTAACGATGACAAAGCAGCGCTCTGTCCTCCGGCGGGGACACGGGATTGATGTGTCAGCTGCAGAAATGCTCCTTAGTGTGGAGACTGGAGCTTTTAAACCCGAGGTAACCGGACTCAGACCCTGCTTGTTTCGCTGTAACATTCAGAGCCAACTAGAGCCAGAAAGTGTAAAACGGGGTTCTCAGCTGTTTCATTCTTCAGAACTTAAACCTGAAGCAACTGGTTGAAAACTTCACCATTACAAAGTTTCGCTTCCCAAATAGTGCTGTTCTATAAATACCCTGTGCAGTGGGATATGACATTTACTCCCACACATGAGACACAGCATGCTTTGTAACTTGCATACTCCGGGCCTTAACCCTTGAGCTGTCTTTGAGTAAACACAAGGCAAGAAACCCACCTCTTCTGTGGGATAGACTCATGCTGGAGCCTG